TGATCATCAGGCAAATTCAATAATTCAGTAGCATGAAAGTTAAATCTGAAAATGTCATATAACATTTTCCACATATCTGTGTTCAATAAATTTTTTGGTTGAGCAAATACCGAGAATGGATTTTTTCCAGACCATTCAAATTCACCATGATTTCTTGAAAAAGAAAAGCTCATTTCAGATTTCATATATTCAATATTCTTATGTTTAAAAAATTTTATCAAGTTTGGATATGTTAAAGGATTGAAAACGATAAATCCCGTATCTACTGGTATTGACTTTGGATTGGCGGAACTTTTTGTCGTTGGAACAATATAGTCAACTGTATGTGTATGACCTCCAACATAATCATTTTGTTCGTAAAGAACTACATCATGCGGAGAATGCTCGGAAAGAAGCCAGGCAGAACCTAAGCCAGATATTCCGGATCCAATTATAGCTATTCTTTTGGATTTTTGGTTTTGAATAGAAGACATTATCTTGTAGACAGTGAAAAAAAATTTTAATTACACGATTATAAATATTTTGAAACAAGAAAATATGTTGATCTTATGCATTTGATTACACATGCGTTTAAAAATATTAAAAATGGTTAAGCCGGTTGTAATCTTATGATTTGAAGTTGTGTACTGTAGTTTGGCGGTGGATTCATTAAATTTATCATTTGCAATAATCTCCGTATGACTATACAAACGAGGATAACTGATTGTTTGGTAAATTATGTAAATTATGGATCATTCACTATCGTTATCGCTATTAGACACTTTCAAATCTCCAATGGGTAAAAAAAATTCGGTAAGAGAATTCGTTAAAAAAAAAAAAACCAGATTAATCAAGATTACCATTGATATGACATAATATCGATACTATATCGATACTGATACTCACTACAGTGAAGTGATCCCGTTCCATTAATAAAAATTCACTAATCGAGATTTTAATTACATCGAACGTTCACTATATATTGAGTGAATAGTATACCAGGAACGTTAGAGTATTTATCAAACTAATGAAATCAAACATTTTAATTAGGGTCGCATATCGATAATTTTTTTTTACGATCCGAATTTACAGCGGACAATAGTAA